CGAGTTGTAAGATATACAATATAATTTAATCTTTATAACTTTTTCCATACTTAAAACTACATATAATTCTTTTTTTGAATTAATCACATTATTACTTAGTATATCAAGTTTCATTGAAAATTCGATCCAATATAATCCGGAATAAATCAATAAATGATTTATAATTCATGAATGGATATCATCTTAGATCGATAAGCATGGTGAAAGTTGTCGATGATAATCTAAAGTTCTAAGAAAGTTTTGTAACCGGAGAATATCAACACTGTTGATATTCGTAATAATGAAAGAAAGAAAGAAAAAAAAAAGAAAAGAAGATCTTGCACGGAGGAAATCTTATAGAAGAAGATCTTTATACGTTGATAAAAAATCTTTCTTATTATTGTATTATTATTATTATTTTTTTTTTTCATTCACCTGCAGACATTTAAATAACGAAGCTCCTCCTTCTAAATTTGTAACTCATTACATTATAATGCGATATTCGAAAGTTGTTGGTTTCTTAGCTAATTACAGAGTTTTCAAGTTTGATAATAGTATAATTAATTAATTTCAAGGAATTAAAAATGAGGATAATGTATTGCGTGTACCAGCCTTAGATAATAATAATTCTTTATCTTCGTCAAATCTTGATGCATATGACGACTAATTTAACATCGAATCGTTTGAGAAAACCCTTCTTTATCGATTTCCTATACAATCTATAGATCATAGAGATCTATTGATTGCCTGCTTAACTCCTTAATTCGTGAAGATGCGAAAGGAGAAACGATAAGGAATATTATGATCGAGCAACAGAAGGAAACGCGTTGCACGCGTTTCAGAAAAATAATCGTGAAAATGGCAACCATGTTACAAAATATCCTGCGAAAATATCGTGCGTTATTTGCCAAGAATTGATGAACATTCTAGATATGAAAAAATGAATAAGAAGAAGAAGAAGAAGAAGAAGAAAAAAAAAAGAATCACTCACAGTGAAATCGTACCTTCTCCTCCTCCTCCTCTTGTTGAGCATCATGGTTACTAGGTCACCGCCGATTGCAAACGAAGAAGAGGATATGTTGGAATTTCCACGTTTATGGTTATTTCATGTAACACGATCGCCACAGTCTTTTCACGTCTCGTTACATCTTCCACTTTCTGCATTGGAAACGTTTCTCGCACCCACATTTCTTCGTCTCGTCTCAATCCTCGAGAAAATTCGGATCTCTGTAGGAATAATAGAGTGGTAGTACAGTGTGGAGATAGATTCTTATCGGGAGGACAAGTAACACGATAATGGAATTGTTAGTGATAAGAAATTGATACAAGATACATTTGATCTTTCAGACAATTGATACAGATGCAAGATAGTATGTGATAGATGTAGACCTGACGTTGGATAGATCTTGGACCACTTTTGTAAGACCACCCATGATCGATGCGATACGATCTGTGATATCAATATGAGAGAAATCGTGAATAAATATCGTCAATAATCGTCGAAGATATTCGTAACATTATAGAAAAATAATTGTTATGAGATATAACTTAAAAATGTAATATTTATTTTGTATTTCATTTAAGATTTTATGGGTTTTTTCTTTTCTTTTTATTTTTTAATTTAGGATAACATCGCTTGACACTCGATATCGTGAACAGATGTGTGATATTATTAAGAAATTCATATTTTAGAAAGTACTATTCTATCCAAGATCCTGCATCAACGTGAAAGTTATACAACCATTCATACAAATTCAGAGGAAGTGGGTAAACTCGATAAATGAAAATTATTATGGCAAAATTATTATATTGTCATCCGATTTGTATTTTTACTCGATCGATCAATAAACGAAATTTATTAACGAAATTTTCATTTTAAAAATTCGATTATTAAAATTAACTCTTTCTCTCAAATATCCGGGATGGCAGAAATTCCATTTCATCTAGAAAACGTTATAAAACGTTTAATTATCCTTGTTCAATAAATCACTGAACGAAAAAAAATTCCACGTATGAATAATTCATTTCGAAACAAAATTATTAATCTCATATCCAATTCTTGTTAAATGCACGCACAGCCAATTCCATTTCTTCCTTCTTTTTCTTCTTCTTCTTCTTCCTCTTCTTCTTTTCTCTCTGGAAACTATCCATTCCAATTCGAAACGCGCGACTTTCACCTGTACTAGCGAATCGTATCCGCTATTTTATCATTTCTCAGTTAGGCGAAAAATCGGCGTAATTTCACTCGAAGAGATCGACACGTGCCCCGCTCGTCGAATCGGTGTTTTCACGACGATTTCACGAGTAGTGTTACGCGCCGTCACGTTACAACGTCCACTTCCGGTTGAGGGGAATTAACGTTTCCATCGAGATCGAGATCTCTTCCGCGAGATCGAGAAGCTCGATTCTTTCTCGATCTGAGAATAACGGGAGAGAATAATCGCGCTATTGTGCGTGGAAAATTTTATTCGATTACAGATTGCGAATGATGAGAGCGGAAAGGATCATCTGAACGAGATAAGGAACAAGAAAACGGAAGAGGAGTCTCTGAATGAGTAGCGTTCTCTTCCCTCGTTTATATAAGTTTCGTTCAATAAATTGTGCGCTAGAGGGGAAGGATTAATTATAGATTCTGAAGAAAATGACACGTGAGAGACGAAGGAAAGGGAAAAATATGTTCATTCAAACGGACGAACTGTGTGTGTGTTTAGTATGGAATAAAAAAGAGAAATTAATTATAGGATTCTGTTCGTCTGAGAGTAACAACACGTGATATATTGTTATAAGAAAAAAGAAAAGAAAAAAAAAAATTACGAATATTCTCTTCCTTTATTTAAATAAATATTATTTAATAAGTCGTGTTTTATGAACGAGTGAATGAAAGGAGGAAGAATAAATTATATTTACGAATCTATATAAACGTTTAACGTTCGGTTTAACGTTTGCAATTAATATTCATATGTACGGTTTATCCAGCTTAAATCAATCGTAGATGGGAAATATAAAAATTTACGATCACTCGTGTAAAATTTCATAGTCCGTTAAAATTTTGTATTGAATTAACAAACATTTACGACGAGAGTCAATAGATATTAATCGACATTCTATTCTATTCTTCAAAATGTCCAAAACT